TCGGCGGGAGCGCCGCCACACTCCCAAGCAGTGCACTCTCCAGTGCGCCACCGGGCCGGCCTGAGACTATATTTTAAACCAAGATATTTTCACTTTTAGACCCTAAATGTAAATAAGATCATTATTTCTCTTTTGTAAGGAAAGAAAAACTGTATCAATGTTAGAAAAATTCCCAATGTATAGCCTGCCAGCTTTACTTTTTTCCTTTTCTTTTTCTTTGGCCAGTACTGGGATCCGAACCCTTGAACTTTGGGTTACAACCCCACGCTCTAACCAGTGAGCAACAGGCCACCCCTGCTTTACCTTCTTCCTCCCAGATTATAACTAGCTAAGCACAAGCAGAGCTTTTAAAAAGTCTGTATATTGTCTTAAACATATTTGGGTCAGAAAATAGTGCCTTTTTAGATATTTGAAATCTACATATCTGCAAGGTAGAACAGTTGTAGTTGTTTTATGACACACTTCTTCTATCACCAGAGTTTAAAATCAATCTCTTTGCTTTCATTTTTGCTGTATTTGACTTAGAAAATAATAGTCCTCCCAGAGCCCAGGCTGGTGGCAGACATGTTCTTGTGCTTCCCAATAATTCCATTACTTTGGATGGTTCAAGGTCTACTGATGACCAAGGAATTGTGTCCTATCTATGGATCCGGGACGGCCAGAGCCCAGCAGCTGGAGTGAGTACTTCAAGAAATTGCCCCTAGACCAGGTATCATTCATTACATCTGTATTAGTCAGCTAGGGCTGCCACAATGAAACATCACAGACTGGGTGGTTTAAACAACAGAAATTTATTTTTTCACTGTTCTAGAGGCTGGGAAGACAAGATCAAGGTGCTGGCCATTTCATTTTCTGGTGAGGGCTCTCTTCTTGGCTTGCAGACAGCTGCCATCTCGCTGGGTCCTCGTGTGGCAGAGAGAGGGGGAGAGTGCACGCTCTGGTGTCTCTTCTTATAAGGACACTAATCCTATTCATTAGGGCCGTACCCTTATGACTTTATTTAACCTTAACTACCTCCTTATGGATCCTATCTCTAGGTACAGTCACATTGGGGGTTAGGATTCTTTCTTCTTCCTCATGTTGTACTGGATATGTCAATAGTCAGGAATTGCTATTTGCATTTCACAGGTTTAGAAAGTGATATGCAGAGATGGAAAGTGACTAGGCCAACGTCAACTAACTCATCCGTAATCAAACCAGACAAACCCAGGTTTTTAGCTCCTGGCAGGCATTTTTCCCCTATTAGATCACCCTGTCTCTTAGTCCTTAAATTTAGGTACATCTTCATCCTGCTGTTGCTAAGGACGTGAGAGATGCAGATATACTCTTGGAGATGTACCAAGGCATGGTCACGGGGAAGGAGCTGAAAATGCCTTATACTTTCTAAAGCACCTCTGGAATGAATTATATTCAGTTAGATGATAAATTAGCTTCTGAGT